CACCAACACCAATATGACAAAGATGTTGGAATTGCCTAATAAGCAGCCATCATAAAAATACATCAACATGCAATTATGAATATGCTTGAAACAAATGAGAAAAGTAGTCTCAGCAAAGCAATATAAACTCTTAGGAAAGAAAGAGAAGACATGGAAAGAAAAGGAAGACATAAAAAGAAACCACATGAAAATTTTAGAACTGAAAATATAATAAATACAATTTTTAAATCATGGTGACGGAAGGAAATCTGACTTTGGGTGGTGAATACACAATTCAATATACATATTATGTATTATTGAATTGTACACTTGAAACCTACATAATTTCATTAATCAATGTCACCCTAATAAATTTAATTTAAAAATAAAATAAAATAAAAATTTTAAATCATTGGAGGAGCCTCAATAGCAGAACGAAGAGGATAGAGAACAGAATCAGGGAACTTAATTAGAAGACAGATAAGACAATAAAAATTACCCAACCTGAATAATGCAGAGAGAACAGTCTAAAAAAAAAATAACAACAGAACCTCAGGAACCTGAGACTATAACAAAAGATTAAGTGTTTCATCAGAGTCTCAGAAGGAGACTCTGTCTCAGAAGGCTAAACAAGAATTCAAAAAAATAAGGTCTGAAAATTTTCCAAAGTTGGCAAAAGACATAAATCTACAGATTCAAAAAAGCTGTGTGAACCATAAATAAGATAAACTCAAAAAAAAAACCAAAAAAAAAAAAAAAAAAATCTATGCCAAGACAGCATAATTGAACTTCTGAAAATTAAAGACAAAGAGAAAATTTTGAAAATAGCAAGAGAGAAATAATGGCTCACTTGCAGAAAAAATAAATAAAAGATTTGAATGACAGCAGATTTCTGATCAGAAATCACAAAGACCAGAAGGATGTATCATTTTCGAGTGTAAAAGAAAAGAATGATCAATCCAGAATCTTAAATCCAACAAAAATATCCTGCAGGAATGAAGAAAATTAAGCCATTCTCGGACAAAATAAAATTAAGAGAATTTGTTGCAGACTTACTCTAAAAGAAAGCACAAAGAATTTTTTCAAAATGAACAAATGAAAAAAAAAAACAAAAACAAATCTTGGAACATTCATAAGAAAGAAATAACAACAGAAGAAGTAAAAATCTGACTAAATACAAAGGCTTTTTTTCTTTTCAGTTTTCTAAATTACGGTTGACAGTTGACACAAACATTGTAATATTGTCTTAGTTCTCAAAGTATGTAGAAGAGATACTTAAGACAATTGCATTATATATAGGAGAGGGTAAAGAAACTTAAAAGCAGGTAAGGTTTCTACATTTTACCTGAACTAGTAAAATAATGACACTAGTGGACTGTGATAAGTTATATATGCATAGTGGTGATGGAATAGTGCTAAAGTATTTTGATTGTAGTAGTGGTTGAATGAATCTACATGTGTATTAAAAGGACACAGAACTATACACACAGTATCAATGTCAAAGTCCCAGTTTTGTTATTGCGCTGTAGCTGTATAAAATGTATCCATTGGGAGAAAATGGATAAAGGGTACACAGAAGTGCTCCATACTATTTTTGCAAAGTTTCATGAATCTATAATTATTTTGAAATTAAAAGTTTTTTAAAAAAGAAAACATTACCTCTACCCTAAACAGACTGCTGAAGTAAATCGCTTTCTGAAATTATAAACCCTTTATTAAAAACACACAAAAGAATAGTGGTCATCTGTGGAGGTGATGGGGGCTGGGGAACTGAGGGATAGAAGTGGAAAGTAGACTGACTTTACACTGAACAATTTTTTATATTTTTTTATTTGTATCATATTACATGAATTATCTATTTAAAATAAATAGAATAATTTAATAAAAATGTGCATCATATTCTCAGATGTTCACTCAGCTAGAGAGACCAGCAACTATTTCTTTCCCTGTAGTCTTCACTTGTCCCAAAGGGGTCATGTGAAAGTCTGTGGGAATTCTAGGTTCCCTCATGCATCCAATCACTGCTCAGAACACTGAAGCAGTGGGCCTCAAATGTTCAAGTTAAAAAAAAGTCAGATGGATATCTTTGTAAAAACACAGACATCCAAGTCTCAAGCCTATGGATTCTAATTTTGTTGATCTATTATGGGACCTGGGCATCAGCATTTTAACAAATGCCTCATATGAATAAGCTTACATTTCTGCCCCAGAAAGCTCACAAATCCATGGAAGAGATGGAATGATCTACAATTAGAGTGAAGGTGATTAGAACCATGTAGGAGGCACCAACATGAGCCAAGGGCCACAAGAAGGTAAATGACCATTCAGCCTGGGTACGTGGCATCTTGAAAGGTAGGTAACTTTCAGTCCCTCTAGTAGAAGAAGCAAGTATAAGGAAGGTTGTGAGAACAAGAAGGTACAAATTATTTAATTAAGACAAATAGTTCAGGGTGGTCAGAATGTAGAGATGGGGACTGGCATAAAAATAATATTTTTGTTTATAATAATAATAAAA